TAAGCCGGCCACATTTCATTTCAGCGAGTAATTTTCCTATTTCTTATCTTTGGCTGTTAAGAGTTTTAACTTCATGTTCCATGATATTTTAAAAGTGAAGAATACATAAATAAATAAAATGATGGTCTTCTTAAACGGATCTAGACTCGCAGTTAATGATTCGAAACAGAAGCTTGCCGTGTTCAGTCCTGACACAAACATTGCCTTAAAAGTTTAACCTAGTAAAATGTGAGCTTTATACCACTTTTTTACCAAGAGCTCTCCGAGATAATGCCGTAAAGGAGACCAGGCAAATAGCAAGCGATAAGATTCACATACTAGAGCTTCTAGTTTTGATAAAATTATTTTATTTCGCAATGACAAAGAAATCAAAAGATTTTAAATTTGCACTGAATTTGCTAAGCTCTGCCAACGTACCTCTAACAATTCACTCCAAAGCGACGGAATTACTATCATCCAAAGGAAGTTGTAAATACAGACATACATAGATATGTGTAAAATGACACTGACATGAATGAATGAGTCTCGTGAATGAATCTTTCACCCGCTCTCGACTTGACCTGTTTTGAGTAATGGCGGAGGTCTCTTCCGTTGACAAGTAGGCCATATATCCGTCGCTTATTTCTTTTTTTCTTGCCACCAATATCTGTTTTTACTTCTGTTTTACAGAATTGCAGTGAGCTGGCTTTCGTATTCGGTTTCAGCGTGAAGTTTGGGCCAACATGTTTGCCGCTTTTCTCCAGCCATCACCCACTTGTCGAGCTTCTGAGGCTTCGGCAACCTACAAAATCATCCTGTTTCCCTGAAGATATACGCGTCCCTTTTGACTGCAAACAGCAAATCAGTACTAAACATAAAAAGCAGAAGACGTCCCACGTCATTGTATTTAAAAAGAAGTCCATACAAAGTTATTTTAGGTGGAATCCGTGCTAAACACTCTGCAAGTTCACTGAACGTCTTCATTTGCAATTTTTGTTTACCCTCCAACGCCTCGCTTTCATGACTAGGCACCAGTTTTTTCCCGCGTGTCCGCCATTTGTGAATACGGTGTATTGCCCTTTATAAGGAGCCCCTATTCAGTGGACACCTCTATTAAGCGGACGCGGTCACTAAAATAAGTTGTATTTGGCTAATTTCTGTTGTTAAAAACCTCTATCAAGCGGACGCCGGACTAAATTGACAATAGTAGTTTTGGATTACGTCCTTGAAATACGTACTGAAGTCAGTTGATGTTTTTGCATTTACAAACAAATTAAAGTTGGTAATGAAAGGTAATGAACTTGAACTCTGGATAGCTTCTTTAACAACATGCAACTTTATCACAGTACAGATTAACCGTTGAATGTTGATCGTTAACAAACTGTGAAGTCGCGAATCGAGCTCAAATAAACGGTTACATTATACGTCCTTAGTTCCGTTAGTAATCCTCCTACTAGTCCGTTCTACACTGTCCTGTATGCAAATCAAGTCCCTTTTTGCTTCGAATGTTATCGCTCACTCCGCATCTAATTATCGTACATTAAGTCCCTTGAGACCCGACACTACATCTCCCCCCCCTTTTTTTCTAGTGTGGCTCAAAGTCTCTGTAAATAGTGCTCCAAGTAGACGTTCTTGCACGCGCTGAACTTCTTGGCCGGCTTACTGCAGTATCGTCTGGCTGCTGTTGATGTCCCTCCGTTTCCGTCGCTTCTAGGGATGTCGGTGGACCATCTGGCTCGTTACGTGGACCGCCAATTGTCATCTCACTGGATGCGCCGAGGTTGTCGGGTTGCAAATCTTCCCTGGCTCCTATTTCAGTTTCTTCTGCACTGGATGTATCCAGACCTTCTTGGTCCAAATCCACAGCTACGTACTCATCCTCCCTCGCGTGCCTCAGCAACTTACAATGGGATGATTTCCGGGATTTAATCTCCCTACCCCTTTTCACGGTGACCATACTTCCTTTCACGCCTATTACTGAGAAGGGTCGGGAGTCAAATGCTGGGGTGAGAACATCTGCTTTGCTCTGCTTCAAAAGAACTTGGTCTCCAATCACTATAAGGCTTTCCCGGGCGTTCCGCCTCTTGTCCGCGTACTCTTTCATCTGCTTCTTTTTAGCCGCGTCTCTTTGTCTGATTGGGTCGTATGGAATTTCTCCTACGGGTACGATCCTTTCCGGTAGCTTCTTCCGTAGCTCTCTGCCGAACATGAGCATGTCGGGGCTTTCCTTTGTCGCTGGGTGGGGTGTGGCCCGATAGCTGCCAACCGTTCTTTTCACTCCCTCCCGAAAAGCTTTTCCTTCAAGTTTAGAAATTCTCGCACTCTTCTTGAGGGTTTGCATGAAATGCTCCACGTCACCACTAGCTTCAGCCCACCCAGGGGTGACCTTTCGGTGTCTGAACCCTTGTTCCTGAGCAAAGTTCGCAAACTTTGATCCATTAAACGGGGGCCCATTATCCGATTTGATCTCTTCGGGGATTCCGTACGTGTTGAACACGCGCGTAAATAGGAGAATGACGTAATCAGCAGAAGTACTTGATGTAAACTCAACGACTGGATACCTGGCATACTGGTCCCAAAAGAGCAAAGCCATGTCTTTGTTTCGTAACGGCCCCGCGAAATCGCGAATTCCGTAATTCAGGTTTGTATCGAAACCAGCCATTTTCCAAGAAATAGAGGAACTCCTCGTCGCCAATGTGAAGTCGCGAATCGAGCTCAAATAAACGGTTACATTATACGCCCTTAGTTTCGTTAACAGTCCTCCTACTAGTCCGTTCTACACTGTCCTGTATGCAAATCAAGTCCCTTTTTGCTTCGAATGTTATCGCTCATTCCGCATCTTAGGGCCTGTTTACATGGAGGTGGGGGACCCCAGGTAGGTGAGGTAACCCGCTTAGGTGAGGTAACCTGCCTTTCCATATAATCTCTCATTTTAATTTGATCAGGTTTACATGATAGTTGGGGTGACCCGCCATATGTTACCTCACCTACCCGGGGTCCCCCACCTCCATGTAAACAGGCCCTAATTATCGTGCATTAAGTCCCTTGAGACCCGACACTACACAAACATTGTGCAACTTTTACAACCTCTATCAAGCGGATACTTGGGAAGGTCCCGAAGGTGTCCGCTTAATAGAGGTTTCACTGTATTAAATTGGAAAATATTTGGTTGTTTCTCTCTACACTTTCGTTGGGTAATTCATCGACCAGTAAAAATAGCCATAGGAAATGGATCCGAGAAGAGCTACATGTATTTTTTAACCCCTTCACGCTGTTCTTTCAAAAGGCGTATCTCACGCTCGCCTCCCATCAACGTCGCCCGGGTTCGAATTCTAGCGTCGACGTCATATGTGGGTCGAGTTTGTTGTTGGTTTTCTCCCTTTCTCCGGGAGGTTTTTCTCCGGGTACTTCGGTTCTCCCCTCTCCTTTAAAACTAACACTTTCAAATTCCAATTCGATCTGGAACGCACGGACATGTTCCAACGAGTTCTTAACAACTCCCAGGTGTTCGTTGGCTAAGCAAATTACACCGAAAAAAATTGCCCCAGTTGTTGAAACGTTAGATAGAGCTATCCACCGGATAAATCCCTATCCAAGGGAAAAGTATACTTTGAAAGCAGGAGATTTCTACCGCTGACCAGAACAATCAGCCCAATTGCGTTATACACTGGATAGAGATTTATCCAGTAGATAACGCTATCCAACGATTGAACAACCGCTGCTTGGTTCTTATATGCTTGTGCTCGTATTATCGTTACACTGTATTGCCCTACATTTTTTCGAAGAAACCACGACCCGGAGTCGACCGTAGGTTGATTATAGCCCGCAGGCGTCACCAACGCGGGTATAATAGTCACGATTTATATCTAAGTTTTATCAAGGTTTTGAGTTCTGCATCGCAGGATATAGATTTACGATTCATTTTTTTAAGTCTGCGTAAAAAGGACACAATTTTCTGTTTTTAGACACCCCTTAGCTTATGTGCCTTATAGCTTGTGATAAAGAATGCAACAGAATACCGCCAGTTTATAGTCCCGGCCGGACTATAAGCTTTTTCTCGGGTTTGAGACTGCGAAACGTTCTTCTTCACCGCAGGATACAGTAGGATATAGATTTGCAACTAGTTTTTTTCGATCAGTGTTTAATAAAAGGACGCCCCTTATGTGTCTTGTAATAAAGAATGCAACACGTTTTTCTTGGATACTTTTCAGTGGCGATTCTTATTAGACAATGAAGTATATAAATGAATTGATAGGAAATCGCAATTGACAACTTGACTTGTGAGAAAGCTTATATGTTTTACTAAACTTCTGTTTATAGTTATAGAATTTAGTTACAGTTTACATTGTCACATATTTCTTTAGTATAAGGTTTTTACAATTTAAGTTACATTTCGCGTTAGAAAGTTATTGCATTTTATGTTAAAGTTGTTACATTACGATTTAATGTTTCATTTTGCTTCTCACGTTGTTACATTTCTCGTTAAGGCTACATTTTGCGCCATAAAATTCGTCTCTTCCCACCATCCGTCTGCTTTCAATTTGTAGTTCCTTAAATTTCTTTAAATTTTCCGCGTAATTTTAATTTCGGAGTGGATCGTGTCGAAACGTATTTATATGGAATCGTCTGATGTATCTATATGCCCAGTAACCTTTATTAAAATACATTTGAATGTGCGAAAAAATGAGAACTCGTTCAAAGAAGGGGCTATATTCTTGGACATACAATTCAATATTTTGTGTGAGTAACTTTACAAACAAGCAATATTAAGTGACAATTGGGGCGAAACGGAATTCTGAATTTCATCTTCTTCATCAGTATCTGGTTTATGCTCATGTGTCGCTCAGTTTCAAGAGAGAAATGCAGTGCACGTAAAATTTTCTATAAAGTCAAAATTTTTAATTTTTCTTTTTTAGTTGACACTTAATCAGTTCGCCCATGTTACTTGGGTGATTTTAATTGCCTTGTTTTGTTATAAGTTATCTTGCCTTGTTTTGTCATAAATTATCTTTTCAGCAAAA